TTTTCAAATATAATTTAAGTATTCAATTAATCTTACTTATTTGTTGATTACATTATTCAGCGTGTGAAATTAAAAGTTACAAGTTAAAAAAATTGACTAATAAAAAGCTAATAATATGGAGTTACAAGTAGACTATATGTGATTTTCATTTCATATCATTCTTGTTATTATTGTTTCAATAATTATCATTACTATCAAATTATCAATATGTTGCATTGACTAGATGATGGTATTATAATTAGCACGGGTTACTTATTTACCTCACCATGCACTATCACTAATCATATTACTACTGCTATTTTGATTATTGTTTTAATAAGGTGAAATTCACAAAAATAATTCCTACTTTTAGAGATTCTTTAATAATAATTCTTACTCAGAGTGTCCACATGAATAATTCGAACTAGTAATGATGTCCATATGAATAAATTGGAGTGAATTCAAATTAATGTCCGTTTAAAACTCTCAAGCATTACTCTCAATTTTCTCTTCCCTACTCTTCTTCTTGGGGCAAATTCAAACTAAAACACGTTTAATCTTGATATGATTTGCGCCATATGTGGCTCTCTCTATGTTGGAACATCAAAGTATTAACCGAGATGAATAATGGTGAAGGAAAAAGTGGAGATAATGGTTGAGAGTTGAGAGTATTAAACGGACATTATTGTGAATTTACTCCTTGTGGACACTATTGCTAGTATAGATTATTTTTATGGACACTCTCAATAGGGATTATTATTGTAGAATTTATAAAAGTATGGATTATTATTTTGAATTTCGCCTTTTAATAATGACTTAGGTAATGCTTTAGGAAATTTTTACGACTTAGGCCATCGACTCCAATTCGAGTTAGTGCTTCCTATCCTTGAAACTTCATCTAAGTTTCCCTCATATAGCAGGTTTATTTGCCATGACATGAGCTCGGGTGATAATATAGAATTGTTATGGTTTATATTTGTAGTTTTAATTAGTTTTATTTATTGTCATTTGAGAAATTTCACACTTTTGGTTTAATACTTTATTTCTCCTAGTTTATTGTAATATATTAGTTTTAAAAGATTTTGAGTTTGAATAAATTAGTCTACAACAAAGGAGCATGGAAGATACTACCTCCGTCCCTTAAAACTTTGCCAAAGTTGACTATCTACTCCAAAAAAAGAAATATGACTATCTAATTTTTAACGTTTCTTAATTACTTGCTTATTGCTGTAAAATTTACTACAGGGAGATGATATATTTACTACTCAAGAGAATTATCTGAAATTTTGACGTATTATGTTTGCCATTGATACAATCTTTAGGCTTTGGATACCTATGGATATGGGCATAGGAAATCTGCACTTCGTGTATAATTATAGTCCCACACCGATATTAAGAAGAAAAGGGAAAAAACCTACAACTTTCCTTCTTCCACCAAGGAGTTCCAATTTATGGAGTAATATAGAAAAAAAAATGAAACCTATATTCTATTCTTGAAAAGTTGAAACTTTTTCAAATTTTATAACTGGTCGTAGGCATGGATCAAGCATAATTCCTTGATGGGTGGTCCCAATTTTAGTATAGGCATAGAAACTTCAGTGTCCTAACCATCCTTGAAAAAATGACTAACTCATCTTGTTCTTCATATTCATAAAAGAGTGATGCAATGAAGAAACATCCATTCAAAATCTCACTGGGACATTTTCACAAACATATTATAGACATGTATAAACTAAAACATCCTTGACTTCATATCTTCTGTTGTGTGAAGTTTTTAATCAAAATCTAGATCAATAAAACCATACAACAATTGAAGCATAACTGATAAAAGTATTCACTGTATAATGTAAATAAAAAGTAATGACAAATTACCTACTATGAAAGCTGGTTAATGCAGAGCAGAAGAAGCCTCCGGAACTGGTAGATTGTCGGCTGATAGCAAGGAGTAGCGTTGAGCCATCAAGTGTTAACGAAGAGCAGCGGTGCGTCATCCAGTGCTAAAGAAGAGCAGCGGTAGCGGCTATTAAGTGGTGCGGTGTAGAGTGTGGAAAGAAGAGCAGAGGCGCCGCATCTAGAGTAAACGAAGAGCAGCAGTGCAGCGTCGAGTGTTAATAAAACGTTGTTTGACGCCGAGAGTTAACCAAGAGCAGCAGTGCAGCGTAGGGCTGGGCACGGGCCGGGTCAGAGCGGGTAATGCAAAATAAAATGGAACCGCCAGTTCCATTGTATGGTCCGGTCCGGGTATTGCAATTTTCAAAATAGGAATTGGACCTTTCCTGGTCCGTTTGAAACGGGTCGGTCCAGTCCGGGTTTTACGGTTTCTACTCCCATGTCTTACAATTAGTAAAAACTCACAAAATTCCAAAAATCAATAATTAATAATATAGTACATTAGAAAGTTTTAAAATAACAACATAGTAGTGCACATGTAACAGAAGTGACAAGTCCAATACTCCATAATTTCATGTATATAAGTTCCAACAATTAAAGTTCCAAAAATCGACAACATAGCCAAAATACATATTTTCTAACATTTGAATTAAAAAATGTTGTCTAACATCACATATTAAGGTGACACATACATGAGGGTGGTAATCACAATTTATATATTTTAAGAACAAATTTTCAGTATTAGCCAAAGTTGACACATACATGGGGGTGACAATCAAAGTTTATATATTTTAAGAACAATATTATAAAAAGAAATATTACAAAATCATTTTTAACAAATAATTAAATTCCATAGAAAGGAATAATTCAATAAAAATAATAAGAAATTCATGTAAAATTTAATCAATAATTTGAAAGCAAAGTGATGTTACTGCAACTCAATTTAAAATCCTACTTCTAGCAAAGGAAAACAAAACTATTTCAAAACCGATTATCACAAAACTATTAATAAATTAATACGTATACAATATATATATAACGGGCCGGGTACCCGGTATTTTTTTTTATTTTGGAACCGGCCCGAGTCCTTAAAAAAATTACCCGGACCTACCCGGACCGTTTTATAGCAACAAAAAATGGAACCGGCCTGTTTTGGACCCGAACCGCCATTACCCGGACCGGACCGCGATTCCAAGACCCGTTTGCCCACCCCTAGTAGTCCTCTTCGTCTTTCTTCTGGAACATGGTAGTCGAAGAAGCTAAGGATCGGTTGCATATCTTGCCCTGGCTCTTCGGTTATTGGGCTTTTAATGTTGGATTAGCCTTTTTCGTAAGGGTTAACAACCACCTGACATGAAAAAGTATAAGCTAAAATTATAAAAAAGACCCCATTTGAAAATTAAGTTTGTGAAAATTATAAAAATAACCCCGTTTTCGGTTATCTATGTCGGTTATTTTTAAACCCATTATGGATAAAGTTTTATATTTATAATACTTACCCATTAAGTTATTCGAAACTTTCATTATTTATAAAAATGACCCCGCGCCTACATTTTACAAGGGGTTTAAATGAACTCATATAAAAAGCTAGTTATAGAATGTGTTTATTGTACTAGTGACTCCAAAAGTTTTTTCCAACACTATGCCTTCCTCATACTTCAAAGTACAAAATTTATCAGAATGTCCAATATAACACCACAGATAAAGCAAAAGTTGGGAAGTTTTTCATACTTGAAGTCTACCCAATGCCCAATACCACCTTTTTTGAAGGTTAGAACCCTTCTTTAAAGTTTTCCCAACATCCATACTAACCCTAATCCTCATATATGATTTCCACCTGTCCTCAAAGTGACTCTTCTCAAAACTAATAAACTTACCAATACAGTTTCCTATCCTCCTAACTGTGCTCAAGTTCATGAAACTATATGGTATATTATGGACCTGTACCGAGAAATCTGTCTCAAACAATTTTATTTTATGAAGTATATATATCATCTGGTCTAACCTCTTTAAGGAGCAACAAATTTCTTTCAAACAACCACGTACCATCCTCAAGAACACGATTCATATCAACAATATGATAAAAGGTAAACATATACGTAGTACCTTTTATCGCCTATTTCTTTGATGGAAATACCTTTACTTGGACGCCAAATAGATACCAGAAGATCTTTGAATACTCGAAACTTTATTTTCCGGTTAGTGAGAACAACTCCCACAACCGGGAAAACCTCCTTCCTCTCGGTCAACTCCACCCCTTCTCCATCTTCATCGTCAAAGTTCAGTTCGCCCTCCTCCTCCCTAATGACCATGCCTGTAATTGTTAACAATATCCTCCATTCCTATCCTCGATCTGTTTTGCCCTGCTTCAGCCGAACGAAACCAATCCACGTGGCCAAACCGTCCTCAAGCACCTCCCCCTCCGCTGGTATCCCTCGAGCGCCTGCGTGCCTTACGCCAAGAAAATTAAAAGAGCCGTACTCCGACGAAAGGTCAAAAACGCTCCGAGCGGCCAAAGCCGTAGAGAGAGAAACTTTTTTAAGAGACTTCCGTACGATTCCTTCACTTCTCAAGTCTTATTTATCAAATTTTAAACATTAGATTCTATTTTTAGATAAAATAAAACTACTTGGAAAATAGGGTTAATTCCAAAAATATTACTAAAATAAAACATATTTATAAAAATACGACTAATAGTAACTCAAGTTTAAAAAATGAACATAAGTTTGATTTCATTACTACTCTAGTCACTCGTCACATTTTTTTTTGTAAACAATCATTATTTTAGTCATAAACATGTAATTATTTCTTTTTTTTTTAATTTGAAATCTCCCTAATGCGTAGCACTCCCTCCGTATAACAGACGAGCGAGTGGAGAAATAAGAAAACGATAGGATTAGGAAATAACGAAATTCTTCCTAGTCTTAATTTAACTCCATCATCATTCATCAATAATTTGCCTTAATCCCTAAATACGGAGTAGGATTAGTTCATTCGTTACTTCCTATTTGTGTAGAAAAACTTCCTAATAAAGAAACCCAATACAGATAGGATCATAAGATCATAAGATTAGGAAAGTTTAACTTCATTATAAATAGAGAGCTCCCTCCTGCCTTTACCGCCAAGCCTCATCAAGCTCTAATCGAGAATCCTACATACGCATTATTCAATCATCTGAAAAACTTGAATCACTCTTAATTATGGCTATGAGTCTGAAGTACTGTGGGTTGATCACTCCTTTGGAGAAGGAACTAGACGAATGGAGGAAGAGATTACAGCACTCTTTCTCTCCACAACACACTTTGCTATTTCACCAATTTGCCGATAACACTGCTAACAGTTTCGGTTCATGTTATGACTATAATAATATTGCAAGAAACAACAACTACGAATATGAGTGCTTCTCAACAGTACTGCATGGTACTAAGGACGTGCTTATCCGCAAGGCTAAAACGCATGAGGGGTCACTTGAACTTCAAAATCTGATTAAGAATGGGAATCCAAGAGAAAGGCAAGAAGTTCTTGATGGGGTTATTGGTAATTCCATATTTGAGGTGATGACAGATCCACATGGCCACCATCTCTTCCGACGAATTCTCGAGTTTTGTGATTCTAGTCAGTTGGACACCATCTTTCTCGCCTTGATATCGCGCAAGGAGTTGCTTATCAAAATATCTCTGGTGCAGTACGGGTAAAAAGAAATATTAAATTCTTCCATATAGTCATCTTGATAATGATTTTTCCATGCATGTTTTACTATTTTGTATTTTGTTAATTACAATCAATATATTACTAATAAGTTCATATCACATGCATTGATGCTATATATGACAGGTCAAGTGCAGTTCAAAGATTTATCAAGAGGATTAAAAACACTGGGTTGGAGCAATTCGTTGCAATCATCCTTTCCATGAGATTTGTCGAGTTGATGACTAGCGAGCATGGTAGATTTGTAGTTCAAGAGTGCTTTTACACTTTCGATGCTAAAGAAAACGAGGTTTTTCATTCAACTTAAATCTTATTAGAGTCGTACTTTTTACATTATTATCTATGCATAAAACAGTGGTTGGTTGGAGATGCAACGTACATATATATGATATGTTACGTTACGGACTTATATTATGTTGTTGATCAGTCTATTTTCATTTAAAAAGTAAGTGCTATAACATGATATACTAATTGAAAATAATAGATACCAATGATAGATTTGTACTACGTATATTAATTTCCAATGTCTTAATCGTTGTTTATCACAATTTTATGTACCTCATACATATATACTTCGTATAAGAAATTGGATGCATGGGCTATATGAATTCCGTTAATCTAGTGATCAAAACACTAGATAAAATACAGTTTAGAATGAAATATGACCTCATATATCTTCCGTAATCGTACTATTTCCTAGGCCCTAGCTAGGGGAAAAAGTTAAAATAATTCAAACATTATAGACCTTATTTTTTTTTTGTTTTTTTATAGACCTTAATTTTAATAGTATGTTATCTCACTATAATTTCTCAACTTATTGATACAGGTTTTATTCAATTCAGCTATCTCTTACTTAAAAGAGGTGGCAACAACTCAATATGGATGTTCATCCTTGAATGTTTGCTTGGGTTGCATTACTGGTGCTCAAAGACAACTATTGCTCAAAAGTATTGCAGAAAAATCTGATTTCTTAGCCAATGATCCTTATGGGTACGAATTTAATTTCACTCTTCAACTATAAACCTAAATATGATATCACAACTTTGTCACTCTTTAACTAATCAAACTTGCTTTTACCTCTCTTCAAATAGGAATTATGTTGTCCAGGAAGTTCTAATGCTTAGAAACGATGAGATCACACAAAAAATATGTGACCGCCTCAAGAGGGATTACCTACGCTTATCTTTTAAAAGAAGTGGAAGTCGTGTTGTTGAAAAATGCATACAAGCTTCAGAGTATGGACTGGATTCGGTAGTTGAGACTCTTCTTAATAGTGAAAAGAGCTTAGCGCTACTTGCTCGTGATCGCTTCGGAAATTATGTTATCCAAACTGCTCTTCAGACCGCAAAGGTAAATGAAACTCATCTTATAAATGATCTAATATATAATGCATTATATATCTATTGCTACTAATCTTTTTATGCATTTTTCTTTTTGTGCATGCAGGCAAGTAATATCAAGCATTATGAATCTCTTGTTACTGTCCTTAAGGCGCAACGCTCGGCTCTTCCTTATATCAAACTTGGGAAGCATATATTGAATCACTTGGAAGATGTGGAAAACAATACGGAAAATGTGTGATCTGTTTTTTCATCAGTTCGTACTTATTGAAATACAATGTGGAAAATGTGTGACTGATTTGTAATCAATTGAAATGCAAGCCCAAAAACTATGTTTGTAAAATATTTACTAATATTATTAAATAGAATATGCAGTTTTATTAGTTTAAGTATGCACGTTTATGGATATGCGTTATGGAGATGAGTAAAAATGTAAAACCAATAGCTTCTCGATCCTGCTATACTTCCTTTTCTGCCAGTATAAGTTTTCTTCTTCGGATGACTTTTTTATTCCTTTCAATACACTTAAACAAGTCTCCCTTGCTTATTTTTCTTCTAGAAATAAACTGCAGATTTTTTTTGAGCAAAACCATGCTTATTAGTTTCTCAAGTTTATTTTACTATCAAAATGTCAACAAGAGAGAGCACGCAAGTCATTATTTACTTGAAAGAGAGAAAACATATCTTATTCAATTTGTCCAAAACTGTCACTGAATCGAAACATATGCAATCAAGTTATAAATTCTTACCTTGAGATCTTTAGTGGTCCTGATCGATCACATAATAAAAATAAGCTCAGCCCATGGCTGTGGGAATTCTTTGAACATGTGTAAAAGATAATAATTTTTCTGAAATAAGATTTCTTTTGTTTTCTTCTCAAAATAGAACTTAATCACTCTCATCAAGAGATATTTTTATTCTCTTATATGTTTTAATAGGACCAAATAAGTCTTATTTTGAAAAGGAAAATACAAAGTCCTATTTTAGAACTTTTTCCTGTGTCCTTTAAAAAAAGAACTTTTTCCTATCTTTTACTCCTATTTTGATCAATTTATGTGAGGGTCTTGTGGCCGATCTTACATATATATATGAATAAAACATAATAGTAAATTCAAATTCAACAATCACATTAGTGTTATTATAAAATTAAATTACAAATATTTTTCTTGACTAGAAGCACTCTTGTAAATTGTAATTATAAAAATGTACTACGTACATAGTAACTTAGTTAAGAGTTTGATTTTCATTGTTCAAAAGTATCATATGCGTGCAGGTTTCCATCTATTAGCAACTTTAATTAATTAATAAAATTTTCTTCAATTTAAAATAATCAAAAACGAATTCTTTGATTTGGTGCTACTTAGTCATTTAAATTGAACTAATAATGCCAATTTTCGGAGTTCTTTTATCAAGAAAAATAATTTATTTATCAATTGTGTTGTGTGAAATAATTGTATATACTTTTATGTTTATAGCAAATTGTATGGTACTCAAAATTTTTACATCAATATTTTTAAATAGAATGGTATTGTAGTTAGTACCGTAATGAAAATTTTCAACCCCTTAAATATAAATCCTAGGCCTTGAACCGGATCAGTTCGTGATGCTATTTTCCTTGAAGATGTTTTTCCAATGAAAATGGGTGTGCCCCAAAATACTTCTTTTGTAAATCAAGAAATCACATTTAATTCAATTCCTGATCAATTGGAAAAGATGACAAATGTGAGGGTAGGATTTGGTAGTTCTAGTCACGTTGATTTTGAATCAAATGATGTAGATGAAGCATAGAAGAAGCAAACGAGCTAGGATCACTAAGGATTTTAGAAGTGATTTTATCACTTACAATATTGAGGGTGATCCAATTTACTTTAGAGATGGAATGACCACATCTGAGGCCATGTGATGGAAGGATTCCATTAAAAGTGAAATGAACTCTATTGTTGAAAATGGAACATGGGAGCTCATCAACCTTCCTCCTGGTTGTACCATTATTGGATGTAAATGGATTTTTTTAAAAAAAGTTAAAACCAAATGGAACCATTGATAAATATAAGGCTAGATTAGTTGTTAAGGGTTACAAACAAAAAGAAGGTATTGATTTTTCGATACATATGCTCCAGTTGCAAGAATGACCACAATAAGAATGCTTATAGCATTGGCCTCCGTGTATGATCTTAAAATTCATCAAATGGATGTTAAGAAAGCTTTTCTTCATGGTAACCGTGAAGAAGAAATTTATATGGATCAGCCTGAGGGATTTGTGGCAAAAGGCAATGAGAGAAAATTTTGTAAATTAGTCAAGTCCTTATCTGGACTTAAGCAAGCCCCTAAACAATGGAACGAAAATTTTGATAAAATAATTTCTTCGTTTAGTTTTACTCTTATAGATGCTGATCAAAGTGTTTATTATAAATGTAAAGGTGATATAAGTATTATTTTATGCCTATATGTTGATGATATATTATTATTTGGCATTAATGATAATATCATTTTTGAGACCAAGTCGTTTTTCAAAACAAAGTTTGAAATGAAGGATATGAGGGTGACTGAAGTAATTCTTGGACTAAAGTTGACTAGAACAATCGAAGGCATTTCTATTTCTCTGTCTCATTATATTAAAAAATTAATTGAGAAATTTGGATTTAAAAATAGTAGAATTTCTAAAAACACTCTATGATCCTTATGTAGCTTTGTATAAAAATGAAAGTGGTGTTCCCGTGTCTCAATTAAAATATTCTCAGATGATTGGTAGCTTGGGTTACTTAGCTAACTGTACTAGACCTGACATTGCATTCTTAGTGTCTAAACTTAGTCGGTACACTTGTTGTCCAAACAAAACTCATTGGGAGGTCTTTAGATAGAGTATTTAGATAATTGAAAGGAACTATTTCCTCGGGTTTGTATTATGGTAAATATCCTCCGATCCTGTTTTTGAAGGATATAGTGATGCAAGCTGGATAGCTAAAAACTCCGGAAATTATGGGTGTACTGGTTATGTGTTTACGTTTGGTGGTGGGGCTATTGCCTGGAAGTCCAATAAACAAACAGTACTTTTTCAGTCTACTTTTGAGATTGAATTATTTGTATCTTCACTCTTCAACTATAAACCTAAATATGATATCACAACTTTGTCACGTATTAACTAATCAAACTTGCTTTTACCTCTCTTCAAATAGGAATTATGTTGTCCAGGAAGTTCTAATGCTTAGAAACGATGAGATCACAAAAAAAAATATGTGACCGCCTCAAGAGGGATTACCTACGCTTGGCTTTTAAAAGAAGTGGAAGTCGTGTTGTTGAAAAATGATTACAAGCTTCAGAGTATGGAATGGATTCGGTAGTTGAGAGCCTTCTCAGCACTACAAAGAGCTTAGTGCTACTTGGTCGTGATCGATTTGGAAATTATGTTATCCAAATAAATAGCTCCTCAGACCACAAAGGTAAATAAAACTCATCTTATCAATAATCTACTCGTAAAATATAATGCATTACATATCTATTGCTACTAATCTTTTTGTGCACCCTTTTTCTTTTTCTGCATGCAGGCAAGTAGTATCAAGCATTATGAATCTCTTGTCTCTGTCCTTGTGGCTCAACGATCGGCTCTTTCTCATACCAAACTTGGGAAGCATATATTGAATCACGTAGAAGATGTGTAAAACAATGTGGAAAATGTAAGCCCGAAAACTCTGTTTGTAAAGTTGATTACTTGTTATATTAGTGATATTAATATTACAGTATTAGAACATCTGGTAGTTTAATTATATTAAGTATGCACGTTTGTGCGTTATGGAGATTAGTGAAATCAATAGCTTCTCGATCCTACTAGTCTTCCTTTTCTGTCCGTATAAGTTTTCTTCTTCTTTGGATGATTTTTTAATTCCGTTCAATACAAGTCTCTCTTTGTGGATGAATAATTAGACAGTAAAAGAATTTAACAACTTGGTCAACAACAAGATTATTAATTAGTTTCAACGGTTTATGTAAGACTACCCTACAATAAGATTATTGTTTAAAAAATAGAAATCAGTGTCAAAATGTCAACAAGGGAGACAACATTTCTTATAATTATTTAATTTGTTCAGAATTAGTCACCGATCGAATTGAAATAAACCCTATGATTGAGGAAATTCTTTGAACAGGTGTAAAAGATACTACGGGCTGAGGGCTAGTTAATTAGCTTTTTTCCGTTTAAAACTCGTTTAAAACACGTACCGTTTTTTGAATAAAAAAACGCGTTTAAAACGAAAAATAATGTCGGTCCGTTTAAAAAGGAAAAAAACTTCTACTTCCCGTATAAAACGTATATTTCCCGTATTTTACACACAAAAAAAAATACAAACATGATTTGATCAATTGAATGAATAAATCAAATGAATAGGAGATCAACAATAGTTTAAAAGCAAAAAAGAAAACCTCATCCCCATAACCCCGTTTTTTTGTATTGTTACATTACAAAATATACAACCGTTAAATACTAAATTAATTGCATGATGACTATATAAATCTAGCATCTTAAAAGACTAAAACCTAAAATACTACTCCCTCCGTCCCAAAATGATGGTTCTGTATTTCCTTTTTGGGATGTCCCAAAATAATGGTCTTGTTTCCCTTTGGCAAAGAACTATAAGTGGATTACAATTTATACCCCTCTTTTTTAATGAACAATAAAAGTAAAAGGATGAACAATACAATAAAGTAAGGTTCTTTAGTCTTTCTACCACACTTTCTTAATCTTTGTGCCCAAAAGAAACAAGACTCATTTTCTGACGGAGGGTTACTACGTATTAGATATGTGATGTTCTTTTACAAACAAGCATATCAAAATTAAGGTTTTTCTAAGCTTGACATTTTTACCTGTAAACTTTTACACATAAACAATAACATGTGTAGCAGTACTCACACAACTTTCTCATATGTCATCCGTCATCTAGGTGAAAATGATGAGTTTAACTTGAGTGTTATATGATGATCATATAAATATGATGATGATGTCAACTTGGGTCTCATTCTATCGTTATTATGCCTTATTTTTTTACATTACTTTGCAAAATTGTATCTTGGACTTGATTACTATATATTTTTACTTATGTCATCGACTTATACAATGGCAAATTATTCTTTTACTCCGTATATAGTAATGTAATTTGCTACTTCAATATGTGTACACTCTCATTTCTTTTTATTATATGTTATTTTATGAAGTATATAATGTAAATGTTATTTTGCACTTTATTACTATTTCTTTTTCTGTCATGAACTTATGCTATTATGAATGCACTTTTGATGGAGTCAGGGGTGGAGACAAGGAGGGGCTGGAGGGGGCCTCGGTCCCTGCAAGGAAAAAAATTCTTAAGTATATATTATGTATAAATACGTTTAATCTATAGAAAATATGTTGATATTTTAAACTTTGGCCCCTGCAAAGTAAAATTTTCAAGAACCGGCCCCTTTAACTATAGACTTCTGGCTC